TAAGGAGCTCGGACATGGCATCCATCCAAACAGGAAGGCATCGTTGTTCAGGGGAAGGAGGGGTGCTTAGCATGCAGATGCAAACAAGCAACCCTGCAGTGTTTTCGTAAGCCACAGAAGCATGAGCTGTCTACTTGGGAGCCATGTTCTGCCACTTCAACGATGCCAGCTGGAGCTTCTAGGAAAGACATCAGTGAGTTTTCTCCCCAATTCCTTTCTGAATACTATGAAAGTGAGTGAGTGGGGCTTTGAAGTGATTCACAAGAAAAATAGAAAAATTGTTTACATATACAACCCTAACTTGAAAGTAATTTGAGAGGGAAAACTGTACCACAAACTTTGTTTTGGCACTCCCACCCGCCAAATTCTACAATTAACCCAGCTCTTGTTTTGGAATTCTTAAAAACAAATAAAATAAAGACAACTTAAATTTCAATAGAAGACTCCTCACATCACATCTTTCACCTATTTTTTTGAAAAGACTAATAATCCAAAGAGGATTTGTCCTTTATAGTCACAGTTTGGGGATCTGTTTGGTTGATATGACACACATGTCTACTTTTTGTTTTTATTACATACACTGTAACAAAAACGTCCGTTCCTATCTTGGCTGTCATTACATTATTTCCATGGTATTCTGGTTGTTGTTGTTGCTCATAAAAGTAAGTGGGGGAATTCCTTGTGAGACAGACACACAAGGGGTCCACAGGGTTTATTCTTGATCTTGTATTTTGGATTTATGGGATATAAACCTGAAATATTTTAAGGTATTGACAAATTTCTTTCTCCTTCAACAGCAGCCTGTGAGGTCTCATTTCTTTCTAGCCTCTCAAATGGGATTGTCTTCCTTTCTCTTTCTGTCTCTGTCTCTGTCACTGTCTCTCTGTCTCTTTCTGTTACTCTCTGTCTCTGTCTTTCTCTTTCTCTCTGTCCCCCTCTGTCTCTGTCTCTGTCTGTCTGTGTCTGTGTCTGTGTCTGTGTCTGTGTCTGTGTCTGTGTCTGTGTCTGTGTCTGTGTCTCTCTCTCTCTCCCCCCCTCTCTCTCTCTCTCCTCTCTCTCTCTCTCTCTCTCTCTCTCTCTCTCTCTCTCTCTCTCTCTCTCTCCCTCTCTCTGTCTGTCTCCTGTTTAAAAGAAGTACATTTTCGTGTCTATTTCCATTTACAGTTATCCAACAAGCTCATGTTGAGTAATTTCTTCACCTTGACTTGTCATTTGGGACCTACCTATTCTGAAATTCCTCATTTCATTTCTTGACCACCTTTTTTTTTTCCAATTAAGGTGTTTTCCCCCTTACCACTTTTGCTCCCCTTATCAGTTTTGCTTGTTGGGGCTGTTGGCTATGAGTCTCACTCTCTGTGCCTCAACACAAGAATAAAATTATGAAGAGCTTCATAGGATGTCATCTTTTAATGAAAACTACAGGAAGGTAAACAATGATGTCACAGCATTCCTGGACCATGCTATGATGCTTGCTCCTCTTAGTCCCAAGGCAAACTTCAAAAATTACATATTAAAACACTTTTCCATTGGATATAGGAATTGTAAGGACCTCCTTTCACAGTCTCTTTAGGAGACTTATCAACGCATGTGAAATATTGGTTATTTTGTCTCAATGCTGTGGCAAATACATGACAAAGGCATCTAACAGAGTTAGAGTCTATCTTGGACCATGGTTAAAGGGGAGCCAGTATCATGGCAGGGAGGGATGTCCCAGGCACATTGTGTCTGCAGTCACAACTCAGAGAAAAGAAACTCTGATGCTCAACTGGGTTTTCCCACTTTATCAAGTCCGAAACAGCAACCCATGAAATGACACTGCCTACATTCAGGGTTAGGCTTTCCTCCTTGATTAAACCTTTCTGGAAATGTCCTCACACAGAATTCCTACAGGATTTATCTTGGCAATTGTAGTCATATACCACAAAAGTACTTCAGCCTCATAAGACCAACTAAAGCCAGGCTTTTCACTGGTCCACAGCATGAGACACCCCCTCCCCCAATACTCCCAAACACATTGTAATTCCAACCTGTGTCTGGATAGATAGTGACCTTACTAATTCAGAAATGTAAAAACCCTAAGGTAGTCATATTTATCGTTATTTTCTTTCATGCTATTGAGTTAATGACTCTGATACATTTGTGCATGTTTCTCTGTTTACTGTTTCCCTGGGTTGTTGACTATCTCGTGATGATTTATGCCACTTTTAACACTATTGCTTTAAATAGTCTTGCCTTCTAGGAAGGGACACCTGGATCCTATGCTTCCACCAATGCTACCCTTCTCTAGTTACAACTCTATTTCCTTAGTCTTCCTTTCTCCATAACATAGCATCCAACATAAAACACAATTCATGGTACTTATTTGTTTATCATGTCTCCACCAAAAGAATATAAATTCAGGGAGAAGATTATTTTGTTCACTGATCTGTTCTAATTAACCTACCCAGGATACTTGGTTAACCTCTTTTTGTTGTTGTTGTTGTTGTTGTTGTTGTTGTTGTTTTATTTTGGTTAACCTCTTACCAAATTTGAGACAATTAACATGTATAAAGGCATCGATGAATGTACAGATGAATATGGATCTAACTAATATGGTTCTAATTTGGAATTTGTTTTTCACAGCCTGATGCTGACGGATTATAACGTTAATGTGGCTTTGAAAAAGAATTTGATATATTTCAAACATTTGTACAAATGTAAATTCAGTCATTAGACTATGTTAAGGCCCAGAACTTTCTTATGAATACATATTGGTAAGTGATTTGGTCTCTTTAATGTGATGGCTTTACTGTTTCTGCATTTTTCCCCTTGAATTATTTTGTGGAATTTGTGGAGTTTTTTTCTGTAAAATCCATTCTGTTGTTTACATTTTCAGATTGATTTGTTCATTTGTGTAATATCACTGCTCTGAAAAAATGAATGCAAGTTTATTAGGGTAAAATGCAAAAAAAAAATGGGTTGCGGAAGTCAGAGGTAGGAATTAGGGTGAGGAGGCACCATGTTTGTGTCCCACATCCCTGTTCTCACTCTTTAAGCCTTGTGGCCTGGTCTCATCTTCTCTTCTCTCCCCACTCTCTTGACCTCTCTCCTCTTGTGTTACTTTTGTTGTAGCAAACCGTTTTATAACCTGTGGTATTCTTTCCATCTCCAGATATGTAAGTGAAGCTCATTGTAGTCCCCTTTGCTATGTAAACACACACTCACAAAGGCAAGTGCTTAGGATGCAAAGAGTTTGTGGCGCTTTATCACAATTATCACATTTTCACTTGTATCCTTAGATAATTCTTTATTGCCTTTGTCCCCATTTCACAATATGTTTATTTTTTCCTTTTTAAAAATTTGTCGGATGTTTGTCTGTGTTATTAGCTATATAGCATGATGGCTATGGGTATATAAAGGTTGGAAAGGCATGGCCAGCTGCTGGGAGTTCCGTCTCCCTCTGCTGTCGGTTTTCAGTTCTTGGCACAGCAAGGATGCTGCTTTCCTTCTGCCTGGGCGATTTGCCCTAACTTCCACCTCCGGGCAGGATGCTTTCAAAGTCAATGTTAAAGGCAGTGGGGCACCTGGAGCCTACTCACATTACACCTCCTCTCTCACTCAGTGAATGAAACCTGCGAACTCTGTTTCTCTTCTGCCTCTGCTCTGGGGAATCTAAGGCTATGAATGTGTCACTGTTCCCTGGGGTAATTTGAGGCCTGAGCATGCGCACCAGCTGCTACCAATTGTTGCAGATCGCAAGAGTCTCGCCCTTTCTACGTTCTCCGGGGATTCCCGCCCGCACCCAGCATCCTGAGATCCTCCTCTCTCCTGGGTGGTGACCGGTTAGGTCCGGCTGGTTGGAATGTCTAGGGGAATAAAACACGGAGTCCAACCCTGTGCCTCTAGCTGCGCCGGCTCAGCGCCTCCGCCCTTGTTCCCTGGTCGCTCACAGCTTCCGAGTGAAAGCCGCTGCGAACCGCTTGAATGAAACGTGTGTGGGTTTAGTGTGTGGTAAAACCACCAGGGGATCCCGTCTCTCCACAAACCAGAAGCTCTGTTAGAAGGAGGGCGAGAGGGAGGAGGCCTGGAGCAAAGCGCGCGCAGTGGCTGAGCGGCTGGGAGAGGCCGGGCCACCTCCCCTGGCGACCACGCACCGCTCCGCCCGCCTGCAGCGGTTCCAGGCACCACGCTCTCCGCCAGGGCTGTGATGGTGGTGGCAGTGACAAGCTCCTGCACCCCACAGCACCGTGCACAAACCAGCAGCGCCCTCTCCTCCCTCTCTCTCCACCCCACGTCTTCTCCGCCCGTGCACTACGCACAGCCGCCGGCGCCATCCCCTTGTCAACTTTGAGCTGCGGGAGCAACAACTTTGACAGCTGCCGCGGGTTTCGAATCTGCCTCCTCCTTGGCAACAGTAGCCTCGAAAGTGGCCGGAGTTAGACCAGTCAAGAGTTTCCTCTGAGCATCAGTGTTGCCTCTGTTTGCTACAGGTTCCCTGCTAGCCAGCCGGGAGTGGGATTGTGACAGCCAGTCCCCTGGTGGAGGGGACTTGTTTTTCTTTCTCTCTAGAGACCTCGACTAGCGACTGGATAAAGCTGTACCAAAAGGATGTAAATAGCAGAGCAACTGTTACCAAGAAGGCAGCCACCACCCAAAGGCAGGGAGGAACGTGGGGCTTCCTCCAGGCTGCGCCCAGTCGCAACATTAGGCAACTATCAGGTGGTATTTGCAACTTTTCAAGGTCAGCCTGGTGGATCATCTGTTTTCCCTGGGAACCTTCGGGTGCGCAGAGCTTGGATTAGATTTGGTTGAGAAATGCACAGGACGCCAAACGCGGCAGGATTGTAGGGGGTGTGTTGCCCCCCCCTCCAGTTCTGTTCCCTGCTCTCCCAGTCATCTTCAGCTCCTCTCCACTGGCCAGTGGTGAGTATGTGACATGTGTCTAACTCCCTGCACCAAGTTTGGCAGCAGGTGTTGGTGTTAAGCCAGTGCGGGGCTACTAGGAGCGCCCTTGCCGAGCCATGCCGGCCCGGGGCGCGCCTCTCTCGCGTACATCGCGACTGCTGCTCCTCCTGCTGCTGAAGGTTTCTGTCTCTGCTGTCCTGAGCTTTGTCCCTGTGGCCAGGAATGGAACTTGTCTGGGGGAGAGCTGTTCCCCACTGCTTCAGGGCGGCAGCAGGGATGCCCGGGGACTAGGGAATTCTGCAAGAGGGGTTCTGCGAGTCCGTATGCCTAGGGAGAAACTGGAAGCAGAGGTGAGAGGGGCGACCTCTTGGGACCTCCCACCGGCCAGGGTCGGCCAGACAGGTGCAGCAGGTGCAGCAGCTGCTGGGCCCTTGGGTCCCCCAACCAAGCCACCTGATGCCTGGAGGTGGAAAAGTGCCCAGGGTAAAGAGCCACTAGGAAATTTGGGGAGAAGGGAACCTACGGACCTCCACCTCTTCCTTCAGACTTCAGAGGGGGAAGACATGAGTCCCAGGGGCGCTGACATTCCACGGAGCAGCCAGGAGCAGAGTGTGAAAACGGACCCTGAACCCAGAGATCTTTTTTACTGGCCACGGAGAACTGGACAACCCCAAGGCTCCCACCAAAAGCCTCCACCGGGGCATGAAGGGAGGACCATTGCTCCCCCAGGCAGGGCACTACCGCAAAACGGGTCTGTTGATGACTGGGTCCCTGACCAAGGGGGTCCGCGCCGTGGAAACAGCACCAGCAGGCGCGTGAGACTGAAGAACCCCTTCTACCCCCTGACCCAGGAGTCCTATGGAGCCTACGCCGTCATGTGCTTATCTGTGGTGATCTTTGGGACTGGAATCATTGGTAACTTAGCAGTAATGTGCATCGTGTGTCACAATTACTACATGAGGAGCATCTCCAATTCTCTCTTGGCGAACCTGGCCTTCTGGGACTTTCTCATCATCTTCTTTTGCCTACCCCTGGTCATCTTCCATGAGTTGACCAAGAAGTGGCTTTTGGAAGATTTCTCCTGCAAGATCGTGCCCTATATCGAGGTAAATGCCTTCTAGCTGCTGCCTTTATCTGTTTCCGGAATGATAGCAAAAGAACAGCGGTTGGATGTACCTACCTGGTGGGACCCCTTGCTTCTTTCTCTGAATGTCTTCTCTTTTCCTCTGTCACTTATGCATGCATGCCTGTATTTGAAAGAAAGCAGCTTTGTTAAATCACCTTCACACTGCTCTGCTCCTAGCCTGCGAAAAGAGATGGTCCTATAACACTACAACCGTCCTCTGGATGTGGCGGTATTTCTGACTTGGCACTCATCTGAGAGCCCAGGATTAAATAATGGCCCATCCTTGTGGTTGTCCTTACTGGAGCCTAGTAAAAGAGGGGAGGGAGCCATTAGCATTTATTTCCCAAAGTTGTAGTGTTTCATTATGACTCCTTCAGCTTCCCATCCCCCAGGGAGACTACTGAGCATTTTCTAAACTACCAAAGCTGGAGTTATAGTTTATGCATAAAAGAAAATCAATCTTTGCTTTTCATTTGACCTCGTGATGTATTAGGAACCTCCCAAACTAGTTTAAGTTAGCTATTGTCTACCCTACTATTTCATCTAAGGTCTTAGGTCTTCCTTGTTTCCGCTGTGGATAATTCTCAACTTTTAAAATCAGTTCATTCTTTTAAATGAACTTAAAAATAAGACGTCAGCCCCATCCCTGGTAATCTAGCATTTACAGAGTATATGATACAAACTTGCTACTACTATGCCTGTGAAGAATCGGCTATTTTAAAGGGATTTACTCTTAAGATTAAAAACATTTCTGAAGAAAACAGCTTCCAAATTTTGGAAATGCAAATTGTTTGTGTAAGGAAAGGGTTTACTGCTTCGTGCTAAAGCCACTGTACCAGTCATTGCTCTGGGAGGTGGAATTTGCTCTGTAAATTGGCCTCTCTTTAAACACTAGCTCTTGGAACCTGCCCAAGTATTTGGCTGCCAGTTGTGGTTTTTAGCCAGCTGGGCCTTGATTTTCTCCATTCAGTCTGTCCATTTCATTTATGGAAACACAAGAAGGGAAACTGTAAATATCCCAGTGCCTCTGATCTGTCTGGCACCAGGGCCAGTTGACACTATGTTCAACATTGTCTCAGGGTAAAAACTCCAGGATAAGTAAACAGAAAACAGTGCCTACTTAGGAGGTCCAGAGCCAGAGCCCGTCAATAAGACCCTCTGTTATTCTGTCTGCACTCAGATGTAGGGCCATCCATGGCTCAGATAAATCAGCTGTTGCTACTTACCAGGATCCAAGGCCTCCCTGTTGCCAAGCATGGAGCAACTCTGAAACACTGTCATTTATTGGAGAGACAGTTCACTTTTTAATTTGAGAGTGCATAGGTGAATTACATAAAAGAGTATGTGTCAATTTAAAATTGTCTTTTTTAAAGACAATTTCAGCTTAGCTTCTTGTTTTTAACATAGGTTTTTGTTTTAGTTTAAGTGCTTGTTTAGCTCTGGTTCTTGTTTTTAACAATGCAAAAGACTTTAGGCAAGAAGGAGAGTTAAAAAAAAAATAAAGTGTAAATTTCAACAGGCGAGGCAGTCTGCAAGCAGGAACTGTGTTGACTTGCCACAGTGTCAACTGAAGTGTTGGGGTAGGGGTTGCTAACGTATACATTAGGTATAAAAGCAATAAAGAAGGCAGAACAAAAAACAAGGGAAAGAATGAAATCAGCAAAGCTACAGAAGGAAAACCCCAAGCGAAGAGAATTGTATCAAACAGAAGAAAGAATATAAAAAACTTAGGTTAGTTTTTTTTTAATTTTTTTATTAGTTCAAGTTAGGAAACAAACTTGTTTCACATATAAGTCCCTTCTCCCTCTCCCTCCCCTCCCCCATCCCTCCTCCTCCACCCCCAACCTACCCCCTACCCCATCCACCCACTACCCCCAGGCAGGGTAGGGCCCTCAACGGGGGCTCTGCAAAGTCCACCAAATCTTCCTGTGCTGGGCCTGGGCCCTTCTCCATGAGTCCAGGGCCAGAGTGTAACCCTTCACGTGGGATGGATTCTCAAAGTCCCTTCTTACACCAGGGAAAAATACTAATCCATTACCAGAGGCTCCCTGGAGTACAGAGGCCTCCTTATTGACATCCATGTTCGGGGTCTAGATCAGTCTGGTACTGGCCTCCCAGGCAGCATCTGGGCTCGATGTGCTCCCCCTTGTTCAGGCCAACTGTTTCAGTGGGTTACTCCAACCTGGTTCCGACCCCTTAGATCTTCATTCCTCCCTCTCTTCAACTAAAGTCCAGATTTCAGCTCAGTGTGTATTTGTGGATGTCTGTCTCTGCTTCCATCAGCCTGTGGATGAGGGCTCTAGGATGGCATAAAGAGTAGTCATCAATCTCATTTTAGGGGAAGGGCTTTTAGGTTATCCTCTCCACCATTGCCTGGATTGTCAGATCGTGTCATCCTTGTAGGTCTCTGGAGATCTCCCTAGTTCCAGATCTCTTCTTGGACCTATAGTGCCTCCCTCTAATATGGTATCTTTCATCTGGCTCTCTCTCCTCTATTCTTCCCCCAACTCAATATTTCTGCTCCTCCATTTCGAGATGGCTCAGCAGGTAAGAGCACTGGCTGTTCTTCCAGAGGACCCGGGTTCAATTCCCAGCACCCACATGGCAGTTCACAACTGTCTAAAACTCCAGTTCCAGGAGATCTAGCACCTTCACACCAATGCACATAAAAACTTAGGTTAGTTTAATGGTGTTTAGTTCACATGTGAACTTCTTTCTCACTAATTCTGAAGCTTTTATTTTGCTTTTTTTTTTTTTAAATTGGGTCTCATATAATGGAGGCTGGCCTCAGAAGTACTGTGTAATTGAGGATGTCCTTGAACTTTCCATTCTCTTTCTTCTGTTTCTGGAGTATAGGGATTACAGGTGTGCTTCACCATGTCTAGCCTGAGAGTTTTCAAACATATATTAACACTTTATTCTATATTTTCAACTTAGTTTTCTCATTGACACCTTTGTTAAAGCCTCTCTTGTTGCTAGTAACATTTTTTCCTTACTCTCTGTAGTTTTGCTTAGTTTTTATTGTAGCCCTATCTCTTTCACATTACTGAGATTTATTTGATTTGAGTTTTTCTAGAGAAGCAAAGACTTGCTTGAAAATATTTACTGAAAATGTGGTTTACATTACACATTTTTGTATTGTATACTTTTACTATTACAATATACATGGGAATCAACACATCACTACATTTCCGTCCTCTGAAATAGTTTTATAATACTTTAGCATGTTTTATAAAATAATTTTTGAACCATGGTGTCAGATTCCTAATTTCCAATTTCTGAGAATAAAAACTACAGTCCAAAATTCACATACATCATTTTTGCTGTTTTCAGAGAAGGAAAAAGGATTTGGTCACTGTCCCAAGTCAGATTGCTGAATATACAGTCCCTGAGATGGAGCTTTTTTGTGTATGGTTTGGGGTGGAGGAGAGCATAAAGTTTGCTGGGGCATGATCACGTTCAACACTCGTTTGTCAAGGAAGTGGAGCTAGGCAGAGGGAGAATCTGAACTATTTATGAAGCTGCCACAAAGTCCTTCACTGACTCAGGGGCATTTCTAGCGTTAGGGTGGCCATGGAGAGATGTGATGAATTGAGTAACAGGGCCTTTGTAGTCTGTAATGAGCCCATCACTGGATAGAAACTGCTTTCAGAAATGGGACATAACCTTGAGTTCAATGAATCTCTTTGGTGAAGAGGGCTGCAATCCACAGTTGTCAGACAACCATACTCCATCATCTGGAAGAAACAATGCTTCATGCCTGAAGGAAGAGTTGAGAGCAAACAGGGTAGACAGCCACAGCATCCACAACATTAGCTTTACCCTTTCCAAATTACATCAGATACAGCACTGGAAGTTCCATCCTCATTTTGATGATGAAGTAAGGGATTTAGCAAATGTACCTAGGCAGAGGTACCCAGACCCACAAACTCAGTAGTCTGGGTTGCTGTTTTCTGGTTAGAAAACTATTTATAAAGCAAAATTGTAGCCAAAGATGGTTTGATTTTATTTCTACTTCTTTGAATCTTTTGAAAAAAATTTCTTGTATCTATTAGATAAGAAAACATAATAAGTTAGCACCCTTCAGTATGTGAACTTCATAGCTTTTGCTATTTATAAGTTTTCATCCTGTTTCTACAATAAATTTCATGGTTTGTAGCTGATTTTTTTAAAAAAGGTAATAACCATGGCTGGGTGTAAAACTAATAAAGATGAAGGGCAACCACAATGATAGGAGAATGGAGGTTGGAGAAAAGATGGGAAAGAGAACTTGGATAGATTTGGTAGCTATCATCATAGACACATCAGTTTAAGTTGGCCTATCACATATATGAAATAGTACTCAGAGAAATAGATATACATAGTGTCTTCATGCTTTGGAAGCTTGGGGATGGGTTGCAGAAAGATAATGGTACAAGAGTTCCCTACCATCCTAGCTACTCCAAGATGGAGCATGTGTTTAACGCCAAATGATTCACCGAATATGGCAAACAGAACAGCTCTTTGCTCATTAGTTGATGGATGGAAGCAGTCAAAGCCATTGTATCAGATCATCCCAGACCATTGCCAAACAATTCTTTCTGTTTAGATGTTAACTATGGGTTTCAAGTGATGTAAGTTCTTCTGTGGTTTAAAGGATCCACACCTTTGTGGAAAGGCAGCGTCTTCCAGTAGGTCTCGGGTCATCACAGATTTAACTATTTGATTTTGCTGGGATACCAGATTCCTGTACAAAGATAAGTGATAATTCAAGGGAACACATCTTACCAGGAATTCTGGTCAGAAATAAGTTGTGATAAATCTAGAATATTTTCTCATGAAGAGAGATGGCATTTCCAAGGGCTTTGGAAATATTGGTTTGTTTAAACTGTGTAGAACAAATGATTCTTTCACTGCCTTAGCTTGTACTCAGCACTGACAAGTGGAGAAAGGAAGGGTAATTGGATGCTGAAGATGACATGGCCAGTAAGTGTGCAATTC